ACTTTGTTATAGAAAATTGCAATATTTTGTTAGTTGTAAAAGATATAGTGCCATTTATGTGTGACTATTATACATCGTATTTATCCGATACACCCATGTGGGCGTGATACCGAGTGGATGTAATGAATATACACCATGCTATTATGGAAAATTCCAATTCAAAGATATATAATAGATATATAATCACTTGTATAGCATCATGGTATAAATTATAAATAGCATTTAATAAGGCATGTAACTTTAAATCAGCTTTTTCACTGTACTCTAGTTTTTCAAACAAATACCCCACAAAAATAATGTGTCCTTATACATTAGATTGAAATCTGTTTTGGCAGCTCAAACCTTAAGGTCAGCGAAGCGGACGAAAACTGATTTTAGGAGTAAAATGTTCTATCCGAATATACACATTAATTCGATCATAGTTCCTAGTGTATGAATTAGTTTTAGTCATGCTGTCAAAATGTTATTCTCAAGGTCTGTTTGTAAATTTGACTTATTCGAACCAGAGAACCGACTACATGACAGGTTATATTTATTCTTCAGACTGAAGGGTTTTGCATTTCCTGAAATATGTCGTATTTTAATACATGTATACTTTAAAATTATCGAAAAAGAAACGCGGTTTTATAATATACTTATTCCAGCCCGAATTGAAGGAAAGTTTACTCCTCCAAAATTAACTTCTTCTTGTTTTTTTTGTGTATTTCACAAAAGTTGTCGTCTTAGCAGTAGGCACTTTCTATGACATCGCCATATAAAATATTTTATTCAAAAGTTTTAAATACTTCCTATTCCATGCTTTTGGGGGAAAAGTACGTTCTTTAACATATCCATAGTAAATTAACTAGTTTTCATATTTACGCATTAAATTGATATTTTAAACTACAGGTATTCATAGACAAATATGTGAAAATATGTTTTTTATATAAATGAACAATTCAAAATTATCATTTGGCTTAGAGGTTTCAAATTGACTGAATTCACTCACATATATATTTTATGAATATCTGATTTGTTCTGACTTACATATTGCTAACTTAATGTTCATTGGTTTTTAATTTAATTTTTAATGATCGAAGATTAAAATAGTCCTAAGGCGAGCTGCTTGGTATGTCTGCAATAGGTACCATAATACAAGTAGTTTATCTGACATCCTCAGCACACTTAAATGGCCACCTCTATCAGTACTAGTTCGTAGACTGCGCGCTAGACTTGTCATGATGTATAAGATCTCTCGTTATCTAGGCTCGCAATTCCATCAGACACCATCCTTATACCTACAGATACTAGAACCAGAAAATTTCATCAACTCACTTTTAGACACATATATAATACATCTAAAGATACATATACAGGTGTAATACCACCATTGTGTTTCACCTATTAGTTTTTGTTAAATTTGCACTTTTCAAAAAATTGTGCAGAATTCATCTTTGTTTCAAATAAAGAAATACTACGCATGAGTAAAGTTTTATCCTGTCCAGTACTACAGACGAAATTTCACATAACATTTCATTGAATATAAGATAATAACCATCACTGGAAGTTAACCAATCACATTTTCACCCCCTTTTTCCTGTGTACAAGATTTACTAACCATGTAAACTCAAGTTCCAAAATATTCTATAGAAACACCAAATAAAAAAAGAATGGTGCTTTGAAACACCCAAGATATATGTTTATGACTTAGAATTTTTTTACTGCAATGAAATGATGGATAAATTCCCTACAACTGTCAAATTCAAAGGAATATTTTTTTTTCGAAGCTTTTTTTGTGGATGTGACGTACTATGATTTGGTGGTATTACACCTACAGGCACTCATTCTTTCCGTTTACAATATCACAATGGATGACATTACTAAGTTCAGTAGTTCAGTCCCCGTCAGTAGACAGCTTTAGAGAACAGCTCACGTCTGCTGTTCTCTATACTCTCATTTAAATATTTAACTTTTGTATATAATTCTAAACCAACTAATTCGTTAATCTGCACTACCAAACAATTTGCACAAATGAGCACTGAATTTCCTTTTTTACTTTGTTGATTAATTTTTGAAAATACGCCACGCAAGCAACAGTAAAAAGTCATCAGCCTGCTTGATAGTTTATTGTATACTCAAAATAAAAGTAGGCAATTAAAGGTAATTCATCAGAACAAAAATGGCCATGAAAAATGAACTTTCACCTGCACGAGATTAGTATGTCAATTTCTCTGGGATTCCCGTCTTGTGTATTTACAGTTTCATTTGATTGATTTTCTTACATGTAAGTTTGCAAGGGGAATAACCTCCATGATCTCGGCTTTTTCCGGAATCGATCACTTTCTGACGTGGTACATGTTTTTTTTCACCCTGGATAAGATCTATATATGTGTTTCATTCGAGGAATCTCTTTCGATTGGCTATTTTCCTTATAAAATAGATGTTTAGACTGTCACATTAACTATGTGTATTAATGTGGATGTCCTGTAGTTGTTGTCATACATGTACACGTCATAATCAAATTGATATAACAATTTATCAATAAATAACCCTTTGATTTTTCATAAATTGAAGAGAAGCTGCATAGAGCCAGAAAATTTCATCAACTCACTTTTAGACACATATATACATCTTCACTATTTTGGTCTTGCGGAAAATGTTGTTTGTGCTGTATTTAGACCCCTCTACCAAGAAATTTGTTTTGCATGCACACGTATAAAAATTGTTGTGTTTATTCATCATAGGTTTGAACGTTGTTTTCTGCAATTTAGACTTGTTTACATCTCAAAATACATAAACAGGCACTCATTCTTTCCTTTTACAATATCACAATGGATGACATCACTAAGTTCAGTAGTTCAGTCTCCGTCAGCAGACAGCTCTGGAGAACAGCTCACGTCTGCTGTTCTCTATACTCTCATTTAAATATTAAACTTTTGTACATAATTTTAAACCAATTAATTCGTTAATCTGAACTACCAAACAATTTGCACAAAAGAGCACGGAGTTTCCTTTTTTACTTTGTTGATTATTTTTTGTAAATAAGCCATGCAATAGTAAATAGTCATCACCCTGTTTGATGGTTTATTTAAGGAATTACTGTGATATTTTTATGAAGAAATAACATAAAACATGTGGTGTTCACTGAATAACCCGCGTAGCGGGTATTATAAAGTGTGTACCACATTTTTCAGGTTATTTCGAATAGACAGAAAAAATATTACAGTCATAATATGATTCCTTATAATTTAATTCTAAATTCCATTCTTAAGGAGTAAATCATGAAAAAAACGCGTACGTTGATTACTTCGCGGTCACATGACCAAATTATGTCTATGAGCTGGTAGACAAAACACTTTCAGCCAATCAGAGGACGTGTTACATCCAAAATTAAATTATTGTATACTGTAATTCTTCAGAACACAAATGGCCGTGAAAAATGAACTTTCACCAGCACGAGATTAGTATGTCAATTTCTCTGGGATTCCCGTCTTGTGTACTTTACAGTTTCATTTAATTGATTTTTCTTACATGTAAGTTTGCAAGGGGAATAACCTCCATGATCTCGGCTATTTCCGGAATCGATCACTTTCTGACGTGGTACATGATTTATTTTTACCTTGGATAAGATCTATATATGTGTTTCAATCGAGGAATCTTTCGATTGGCTATATATTTTTCCTTATAAAATAGATGTTACGACTGTCACATTAACTATGTGAATTGATGTGGATGCCCTGTAGTTGGTGTCATAGTTATAGTGTGTCTTTCTATGTTGTGATGTTACACTATTGTTTCAGGTAGGGTGAAGGTTGGTGCCTATTAAAACGTTTAAACCCCCTGCATTTGTTTGCACCTGTCCTTAGACAGGAACCTGATGTTCAGTGGTTGTCGTTTGTTGATATGGTTCATAAATGTTTCTCGTTTCTCGTTTTTTATATAGATTAGACCGTTGATTTTCCTGTATGAATGGTTTTATACTAGTCATTTTGGGGCCCTTTATAGCTTGCTGTTCGATTTGAGCCAAGGCTCCGTGTTGAAGGCCGTACTTTGACCTATAATGGTTTACATTTACAAATTGTGACTTGGATGGAGAGTTGTCTCATTGGCACTCATACCACATCTTCTTATATCTGTATACACGTCAGAATTAAATTGATATTACAATTTGTCAATAAATAAATGATTTTCCATAAATGGAAAAGAAGCTGCATATGGTGTATTTATTCATGATGCAGAAGCCCCACATTTGGCAAACCCAAGACAAAATAAAGGGACAATATTCTTATTGGTGTTCTACTATTCTAAGTCTAATTGGGGTCTTCCACACGGAACAATCGCAAAATGTCTATAACGCTAGATCTCACTACTAGCGTTATGTTGCACGTAGAGTCGACAAAATCCATATTTTCGAAGACCCCCTACTGTATAGTAAGCTATAAACAGGGGTGAATCCATGATTTTAGGTTAGGGGGGTCGGGGGCGCAAACTTAAATTTCCGGCGAGAGCGGAGAGAGATGAAAATTTGTTTGAGGTAAAATTATCGAAATATTCTTTATTAAGCTGAGGACAACGCATGCTTTGCAAATTTTAGGGGGGGCGCACGCCCGCTACGCCCCCGCCTGAATCCGCCCCTGATAAAAATCGCCGGCATGATAAAACGTGTAACAATATAATTTGAGAAATCTATCAACATAATTAGATTAAAACAATAAGCGAAAATCAAATATGATGGACAACAGTCAATGACAACCCACTAAATTACAAGCTCCTTACTTCGGACAGGGACAAAAATAGTGTAGCGGGGTTAAGCATGTTTGTGAGTGCTCAAACCACTTTCCCCTAAAACGGGACAGTGTTGTAACAACACATCATAGAATCAATCTATAAATATCAAGTATGTACGATGTACTATACTGTATATTGACGTATTGTGCTTTGGACAATTTACACGAGAGTTTCCGAAATCGTCACCATTTTTCATACATGTATTATGCGTTTTAAAACAAACATAAAAAAAATTATAAAACAAAAGTGTGCATTGCTTTATTAAAAAATTCCAATACTCCTTTTCATACTGTGATGTTTGAAAATGTTAGATATGTTAAATAAGGTTGGGTTCGTTAAATGATTGGTCCCTCTTTCTATTTCTTTTTTTACGTCAACGATAGTCTGTTTATTTTCCATGCTGATAGTACTGTTGAATATCTTGCTCCTTAATTCGTATTGGCTGCTTCGGTACCGATGAACCTCCGATTTTCCTGGCAATTGGCACGTTTCGTACAAGTACTGGCTGACCGTCTCTCCTGATACAACGGGATTGGCAAGCTAAGTTTCGTCGCGTGCAATGGTCGTCACAGTAAAAGAATTTAGCGTATGTCGGTTGCCATTGACAACGAAAAGCACAGTGATCTGCCATTCTGTCACATTCGTGACATTCCATTTTATCGTATGTAGCATAGCTTTCAGGAATAAGTAATAATGCCGCAACAAGCAAACCAAGGAGCTTCACACAAAACTAGAATAAAAACAAAAAAAAACATTAAAACTATTAAATAATTCAAAATGTATGTAGTGGTATATCGTATTTTTTGTTCAAGCATTATCATCATTTAATACATTAAAAAGACAATAAGAATAACCAAAAATGTTGGATAACACTACAGATCTCACCAGCTAACAACATCCAACTAAAATACATATGATGGTCTGGATTGGGTCTACAGAATAGATTTTAATGGGCAAAAAGTGCAGAATAAGGGACAACCTTTAGTTGTTAATTTCTGTGTAATTTGGTCTCTTGTGGAGAGTTGTCTCATTGGCAATCATACCACATTTTCTTATTTTTATAACCAAAATGAAGAATAGTGTAAAAGAGCCAAAAAAAATTTAAATGAGAATAATGGGGTGTTAAAATATAAAGAAAAGAGAATATTGGTCAAAATGAACAAATAATAGAAAGAATGGTCTAAAGAAGTAAAGAATGAAGAATTGAAGATCTCCCATCAAAATCCTCAGATACAATAAAAGAAAAACAACAACAAACAACACATGGTCCAGATATCTTGACATGGTACATAGTACACCATGTGGTAGATGAAACCATTTTGTCTAATTTTTCGAGAGAAAAAAAAAGGAAAGAATATGTTCTTGATATTGTACCGTCTGTATAAAATGTAGCTCAGTTTTGTAAAAGAAAAATAAAGGAAGTCAAACAGATTAATGTTTAACATCAGAAAATGGTTTATATTTTCTGCATTGGAACTACATCATGCTTTTATATCTTACTTTTGTTTTGTAAATCAAAGTGCATTTACTCTGCGTTTAAAAATATAAGTTAAAAGTTCGTAATCTTAAAGATCAGCATAATTTCATTTGCAATGCTGAAGTTCTACGTTTCGACCTCATCCCTTTTTCATATAGACTGTCAACATAAAATAAATACATCTTGATTCACTTCTGCTACTTTTTATTACGACCGTAACGTTGGTATGTACATGTAGTCATAATTATGGCAGATCATTAGCCTCGAATGACAATGTTTTCTCGGCGTAACAATCTGCTCTATCACCTTCTAAGCTATGTGTTATTTATATTATGTTCCATTGCAGTGGAACTAGTTCGATATAGAATAGGTGTTAAAATCTTACAAACAATATAAACTTGTTCAAGCTGGCTTTTTATTAAATCTTACGTTAACGGTTAGAACGATTGAATATATACATCTACCTAAGTTGATCCTTAAAGTTTATTCAATGATGCAGGACTTGAAATGGTACATATAAGCTGTTTGTAACATTTCATCAGTCAACTCTTGAACCCCAAAACCAGACTTTGAATGTGTTATATGGAGTGATTCTTTAATATACTCGTTTATTTCAATGCTGGCTACTTTTAAAACAAATAAATTATAGTCTTCAACTTGTTCGAGTTTGAGTTATCTTTCGTTGATTGTGTTATGAATGTTTATTTAAAAATATTTGGTATGATTGTCAATGACACATCCATATCTACCAGAGACCAAACGACGCAGTGAAAGCAGCTATAGGTCATCATCTGGCCTTAAACAATGAGTGAAACCTATACCGCATAGATATCTAAAAAAAGGTCCCGTTTTGACAAATATTAAAACAGTTTAATGGGGAAAAAAAAAGATTTTAAACAAAGATGGGTACATTGGCTAGGCCATGTAGCTTTTAACGTTCAGCAAATGGTGTGTGATATCAGGACATGAAAGTAACATTACCGGTTCCAATTTTACTGCACTAGATGCGCATTTCAACAATGATGTCTCTTCAGTGATGATCGAGCCAAAATATTTGAATACCCAAACCTTATTCAGAATACTGTAAACCAATTTTTTTTCGCGAGCGATTTATTTTCGCGACCTTCGCGAGTAAATAAATAACGCGAGTATGTAAAAATATAGCATCTTTCTTTATTTAACTACATCAAGTAGTTTGAAAATCGCGAAATTAAATCGTCGCGTAGTGGACTAGAATGGTCAAAACGCGAAATAAAGTATCCGCGAAAATAAGTTGGTTTACAGTATCAAGAGCTAATAAAAATAAATTTAAAAAAGTATAGCCAAAGTCGGGCAAGGAATCAGCTTTATAGGATTGAAATATATTCCTTTATTTGGAATAATTTCCAAAATTTAATAACAGCAAATTTTAATAACACAATATCCGTATTTTCATGCCAGTACAGGAGTACTGGCTACTGGGCTGGTGATACCCTCTGGGACTACAAGTCCACCAGCAGATTACTCGACCAAGTGGTAGTAATAACATTAACAGTACCAATTTTACTGAAAATGTTATACGATATAAATTTAATCCCTGCGTTACAGTTGCCCGACACACTGAGAAAGATTGTAAACGTGCTAGTTCATAGAAAAAAAGTATAACAAAAATACCTAACTCCAAGGTAAATACAAAAAGGGGAAATCCATAAAAACTGACAAAATCAAACATTATCAACCAACGGAACGAGTGAAAAACAAATGTCATATTCCTGACTTGGTACAGGCATGAGAAAAGTGATTGTTAGGATGAAATGTCCAACTACCCGTACAATTTTTTTTTGCGATTCTGACTCCCAGCCAATCAATCACTTCCCTTCCTTCCGGAAGTGCGATTTCAAGGATTACTATCATTTTTCAAAACTTTGGTTTGACCTGACCAAGGTCGAACCCACGACCTCCCGCACTCAAAAAAGCACGCTACCATGAGTTTGTGAAACAGAGAGACAACATATCACCCAATCTCAATAAAAAATCAGCTGTTAGTTTTCGCTACAATACTCTCCACCCTAGGGAACGTAGCGTATTACAACATCGGATTTTAAGCAGTTTGGATATCTCCCAATTGTCAAAATTGGCCAAAGTCATAAAATCAAAGTGATAGGCGAATTTCAGTGTTAAATTAATGGAGTTTCAAGTCTACAATTCTAGACAGTGGCCATATCGGGGCTCAGGTCCTCTTCTCAGCAGAGACACTGATGGAAATATGAAAATTTTGTTTCTAAATCTCTGTGTTTAAATAATTTAAAACTGTTTTTTCTCTTAATATTATGATTATTGGGGACGGTTTTGTTTCTTCAAATACATCTTCCATTTGTTTCAATATGTAACATTTTGCATGATTTAACTTGAGCCCAAGTTATCATTCGTCGGGGGCCTCGGTGGCCGAGTGGCTTAAGTAGTCAACTACTGTATTACTAGCCAGTCAACACTGAGGTTTTTAGTTCGAATCCCGTACGGGTTAGGTGTACTCGACTCAAATCTTAATTGACTAGGATTGTCAGTTTTCCTACCGAAGGTCGGTGGTTATCTCCGGGCACTCCGGCTTCCTCCACCAATAAAAACTGACCGATACGAATAGCACAATAGTGTTGAAAGTGGCGTTAAACACCAATCCTTCGTCGGTTTATTATGTTTTAAGAAAAACACATGTTATTAAAACAAAGAGATAATATATAACCCGATGGTAACAATTTACCAGGTTGCTATCGTCGAAGATTGGTCGTTGAAAACACACAAAATGCGTCTTTTAAAAAAATTTAAAAATCAAGAAATTAAATCTTTAAGGGATTTTTTTAACATTTGGAAAGTTCTTTTATTCTAATATGTGCCTGGCTTAGTTTTTATTTTAAACAGTTTTGTGCTGCTAGACAAAAGCACTTTGTAGCACATCTCTGTGCCTTTTCTATCTGCTCTTTCGATAATGCAAGTCCGTTTTCACTAATAAGTATGAAGTCTTTTCAACAGCAGGGAGTTTCCAAAACTTTTAAAGTCAACATACATTTTTCTACCTTTTTTTATATCAATATTTGCTTAGTCTCAAAATTTTTCGACACATTGTAAATTAGTCTGGCTATCACGGACAGCGTAAAAACATTTCCCATTACTTGGTCTGCCACGATATTTCTCAGAGAGAAGATTTAAACTTGAGATACATTTATTTGGTTCAAAAAACACATTCTGCACTGCTATGTACAATGTCTAAATTTTTTTTCTCAAAATAATTAATAAAAAATGAATGATAAAGGATGATTTTGATGCTAAAACAATGTGTGAATACTGTATTGCATTTTATTAATGTTTAAGGTTGTGTTTGTCTTTTTCTCCCTGGCTAACTGGTAGGTTTTGGAAATTTGATTCATCGCTACCACCCTCCCCGAAACGCTTAGAAAACAAATGATTATAGGTTTATTTGAATTGGCAGAAGTTTGGTGTGTATTTTTTTCAATAATTCAGCAATGAAAAACAAAATTATTTTTATGTTCGTCTAGATAATAAACTTTCATATTATGTTTGTCAAAAAAATAAATATGTATATGTTTGCCGAGAAAACAAGAAAATATTATGTTTGTCAAGAAAAAAATATTAACATGTTTACGAAGACAATAAAAATGGGTAGAAACCAAATATCAAATACATTTGCCAAGAAAATAAATAATATTATTATGTTTGTCAAGAAAATAAATATTTTTATGTTTGTTAAGAACATAAATAAATTAATATTGTTATGTTTGTGGAGCAATGAATAATTCTATAATGTTTGTGAAGGAAAATAAATATTATATTATATAAATAAATGGAAATGTATTTTATACGTCATCGACGCTACTTTTGCGCCACCAGTTGTCAAATTCATAGTATCATTTGCACCAAAAATAAAGTATACGGTTTCGCCAATTTAAAAGAAAGACTTCCCTCCTCCTTGTATTAAATGTAGGTAGTGGCACTTCGGACAACATCAAAGGGTGAATAGGGAATAAAAATATGGTCACTTTTGGTCTTCTTACCGGCTGTAAACCCCTTTCCAAAGTGGGGCGTCCGTTTGGTTGTGCGGAATGTATAAATACGCAGACACGTCCTGATAGAATAGGGACGTTATATGTGATGCTTCGTGTAGAGACAGTGCCACGCTCTCTGAACGTTACGAACCCTAGCACAAAATGTGTTGACGAGTCCGTAGGTAATCTGTTGCAAGGCTTTATTTCTGTCCCTATCTTACATACCCTCATTTTCCAGTGGCAGTCCAAATTTCACGCCTATCATCCCGTTCGACCCTTTTACAGGGCCTACCTATTGTTAATTTGTTTTCGTCTGAACATGCATGAACTATTTGCCACTGGACGTAAAGCAAACATAAATCAATCAACCCTAAACGAAATAAAAATGTGCTGATTGTGTTCAATACCAGTACAAATCCCTTTTTTGGTGTCCTACAATACTGCGACTCATTTCACAAAAACTCCGACGAGAAAAAAAAATCGTAAGTCATGAATATGGAACGCCATGACTGTCTTCTGATGTTGATTGTTTAATATATTCGGTGCTTTATGCATTATATTCAGTAGTATCTATATTAGGTTCAGTAGTTTTCATATTCTGTTCAGTAGTTTTGACATTATGTTCAGTAGTTTTGACATTATGTTCGGTGCTTTGGTTATTATGTTCAGTAGTTTCATTATTATATGCAGTGGTATTTCAATTATGTTCGGTACTTCTGACGTTATATTCAGTGCATTTTTCATTATGTTCAGTACCATCGACATTATGTTCATGAGATTCAATATTATTTGCAGTACATTATGTATTACCTTCAGTGGTACCGGTTTCTTTATATTCGGTAGATTATTCATTATGTTCAGTAAAAGCTTCAGTATTATACTCGGTTCAATGAACTATATGTTCAGTAGTTGTATCATTATGATGATGCAGTGAAAGTCGGGAAATCAATAACGGAAATTTTCAGAAAAAAACGAACGCGGATATTTTCGAAGGACGTTTTCTTCATGGACACGTAACGGGATGAGGAATGAAAATGGAAAAAATGGAAGCAGTATTAAATTGGTTTGGTTTACGTTGACACGTTGGCAATTTTCACAAGGAAAAAAAATACTCCTGACTTAATTTGTAAGATGTCATGATTGATTGATTGTTTGTTGTTTTCTGAACGTACAGTGATAAATATTTCACGCATATTTATGACGGAGAGAAGAATTTTCAACAAGAAATAAGAAGTTGCATGCGTTGTCGTTGATACACCATGACCTTAGAGAGACGACAAAAAGACAAACAGCAAAAAATAAAATATAAAAACATATTCTATAGCTTTTGTATTCCTAGTAGGTAACCCTTTTTGTTGGTTGGTTGTAGCATATTAATCTCATGCACCGACTTTTAAGAGACCACGAAAAATCTCCTTGCAGATATTCCTATAGTATTCTGCATCCTACCCCGCTAATAGGCGCTTAAATATCAGATATTTATTTGAAATAACCCAAGATAAATGAGGTTGTGGATGAGGTTTACAGAATAGAGAAAGTTGATTCATAAATATGACCATATCAATGATAATTCAAGGTAACACGGATTAGCCTCGAACCTGTATCTGGATATTGTCAATCTGTTCCTCTTCATTCTGGCTATCTTTGGTGGATCTAGAGACTAAATCCAGAAATGTGTTTTTAAACGCTCTGTTCAAGAACAGATATTGAGTTATTGGTTTGGGTAGTTTCTAGTCTCTTATTAAACAAAAGGGGTCATGTTTTATGCATTACTTTAAAATAATAAGAACTGTACAGAAATGGTGAAAATTTGCACATAATTAAATTTTTGCACTTTGTATTTTGATATTCATTACATGTCTAATAAACAGTCTATGGTAATCATATTTACACTTAGACCTAGTTAGTTTTTGTGTATACAGCTTGAATTTGGAAGATTAAAAATCTTAATAAATGATTTTAAAATGACAATCATACTGATACTCAATGTTCATTTTTTGTAGCACTTTGTACAATATTTCATTCTATACCCTTGCATACCAGCATAAATTTCAATGTAGCTCTTTGAATGTATGAAATTTAATAGTTGTTTTCTGGTTTTTCTGCTATTGCAGAGCTTTTTGCTGTCATTTTTGTCTGAACTCTATCAGGAACTGTTTTATCTTTGTTGTAATAATTTCTGACACAATGCAGGAGAAGAATGTATGATTATCTTTGTCTGCAATAGTGGACGAAATAGTACGTCAAGATTTGTTAACTCGTGCAAGATCGTGATTTTCGAGGAAAATATCGAATGTACATAATTTGCATGGTAACATCAATTAATCAGTTCTGATTACGACCAGTTCAACATTTCATTCCTTATCAATAATTAATTCGGTATGCAGAAAAAGTTTAGTTATTCTGTTAATCATTTAATTCTGTATTCACTTTTTTTTTACCTTTTTCCAAAGTTTTAAACATTTTTTTTAAAGCACCCCTTTATTCTCTATTCTTTATTGTTTGCCCACCTTCTCTTTTTTGGGGGTTGGGGCATTATTCTCTATTCTGTTAACCTCATATGTCCTGGGTTATTTCAAATAAATATCTGATATTTAAGCGCCTATTAGCGGGGTAGGATGCAGAATACAATAAGAATATCCAGAACGAGATTTTTGGTGGTCTCTTAAAAGTCGGTAAGTCGGTGCATGAGATTAGTATGCTACAACCAACCAACAAAAAGGGTTACCTTCTAGGAATACAAAAGCTATAGAATATGTTTTAATATAATTTTTTTTGCTGTTTGTCTTTTTGTCGTCTCTATATAGTCATGGTGTATCAACGACAATGCATGCAACTTCTTATTTTTGTTTAAAAATTCTTCTCTCCGTCATAAATATGTATGAAATATTTGCCACTATACGTTCAGAAAACAACAATCAATCAATCATGACATCTTACAAATTAAGTCAGGAGTAATTTTTCCTTGTGAAAATTGCCAACGTGGGAACGTAAAACAAACCAATAAAATACTGCTTCCATTTCTTCCATTTTCATTCCATCCCGTAAAAGTGTCCATGAAGAAAACGTCCGTCAAAAATGTCCGCGTTCGTTTTTTTTCTCGACAATTTCCGTTATTGATTTCCCAATTTTTACTGCATCATCATAATGATACAACTACTGAACACATAGTTCATTGAACCGAGTATAATACTGATGCTTTTACTGAACATAATGAATAATCCACCGAATAAAAAGAAACCGGGACCACTGAAGGTAATACATAATGTACTGCAAATAATATTGAATCTACTGAACATAATGTCGAAAGTACTGAACATAATGCAAAATGCACTGAATATAACGTCAGAAGTACCGAACATAATTTAAATACCACTGCATATAATAATGAAACTACTGAACATAATAACCAAAGCACCGAATATAATGTCAAAACTACTGAACATAATGTCAAAACTACTGAACATAATGTCAAAACTACTGAATAGAATATGAAAACTACTTAACCTAATATAAATACTACTGAACATAATGCATAAAGCACCGAACATATTAAACAATCAACATCAGAAGACAGTCATGGCGTTTCATACATGAATATTTCAGTATAACTTACATGTACGATCAACTTATGTCGTAAAATTTTTTGTGAAAAGAGCCCCTGAGCCCCTATTACAATAATCGAAGTGCCTATCGCCGAGATTATTATTACTGGAAATATAGCAGCAGAGTGTCCAAAGATTCGGAATCTCCCTCAAAAGAAGAACTTTTTTCAGAACTTTTCAAACTTAGCCAAGACTGAAATTAAAAAAAGCTTACAACCCCTCCCCTTTTTTAACAGGCGTATTGCCAAAGTGGTTCTTTTTTTTTCAAAATTTGCCGCTTAGCCTCGATAAAATGATACTTGATACCAAGTAAAAGGACAAAGAATATTATCAATCAATCCTAAGCGAAAACGATATGTCCTGATAGATGTTCAATTCCAATACAAATCCCATGCTACGCGACTTAATACTTACCACTTATTACAGTAATCGAAGTGCCAATCGCCCAAATTCACACTACTGGAAATGTCAAAAGATTTCATGGATCGGAACCCTCCCTCTCTTCCCTGGTATTTTTAAAGAATTGTTTAAAATTGACATAATTAAGACTGAAATTAACCAATTTACAACCCCCTTCTCCATTCAACAGAAAAATCGCTCTTTTTTTCAAAACTTGCCACTTGGTTTTCGATAATAAAAGTGATACTTCAAAATTCCATGAAAAACAAATTGAGAATGCAAAATCATTTTAAGTACAACACATTTAACCACGAATATTAAATGCTTACATACCATAGTGTCAATATTTCCACAGCGATACACGTGAAAGAAGTAAAATTAGGTCAACGTTCTTGTGAAATTTACACAAAGAAATGTGTTCTAGATAGAGCAGATAAAAAGAGTGTCTGGTTTTTTAAGCTGTAATGAAGGATGTAATGATATAATGAGGTGGTTTCTGATTTGTTTTAAGAGACAGACAAATTCACAAGACATTTTTTTACAAAATCACACGAGGTTGTCTGAATTAATTCCTTTTTTAATTCCAAGCTAAATTAATCTTTTCACATGTTGTCTTCCCAAATATTTTAATTTATGATATGAAAAAGTGATATTGAATAATTTTGCATTTCAGTATAGCTGACTATAAAATTGCTAGAATATACTCAGGAGCTATCGAGCGGGCTTTTCATAAGGCACCGACCATTCATCTTGTGTTAGCCTAGGGAGCATGGAATTTAATCTTAAAAATATATAATGATTGTTTGTTTCAAAATATCTTGGAAAGTTAAAAAAAGTTTATTGCTATTGGAAATTATGGAAAATATATATTAAACTGTTACATTTAGTTTTTAGAAAATCTTGTTACTGTGTGTTATTGAGAAAAAAGTCTATATTTTTTTAATAAATTCGAAGAAAAAAATGATGATCCACAGATTAAACCCATGGTCCTCCTCAAAAGATTAATGGTCGGTGCCTAAGTTGAACATTTGTTTTTAAATTTCTATTATCGGTTCCAATTCATTTCTGCTAAGCAAGCAGTTTTGAAAAAAATCAATATCTGTCTTTTTCATATACAATAGTTATTAATCAATATTTAAAAAGATATTTTTATGATAATGAATAAATTAACATGAATAAGTCATTTGTAAATTTAAAACCATTTATTCTAGTTTTTTCTACATGTTGTGTTACTTTTAATTCAATTGTGGGCGTATTTTCTGTTTTTAAGACGAATCCATTCTCACGGAAGGTGCACGGTGGATGACTTCAACCCTTTGCGAGTGAAAGATATTTCTAAAATTCAAAATTCAATTCCGTATTGAATTGACAATCATTTAATTTTTTTAAATTGTATGATGTCCTTATTCCATTAATGTTGATGAAAACAAAATCTGGTGAAATAACCGTTTCATAATATTTTTTTTTAAAAAGACTATGGGTAATTTCAATGTTCATAATTATCCTAAAACAAAAATACATGTAGCTTCAGGTCATTGTTTGAATTTTCAATTTTGAGGTTGTCGTTAGCTAATCACAAAGTTTTTTTTTGTGTACGTGTTCGCTTTTCAAAATATTTCCCGAATTTTTTTCATGCTAAATGCACATAATTATATTCAATAAGTGATATCCGATGCCGCCCCGTGTAGAGAGAGTGCAACACATACTTGCACGTACAGAGACTTTTGGAGCCCTTAGGTGGCCTTTTGTAGGAAAATATTTCGACCCCTATCCAACATGCATGTACCCTCTTTTTCAAGTGGCAATCCGTCCCTTCGTCACATTACAAAACCTACCTTTGAGATTTTTAATTAAATTGTATTTGTCCTGAATATAAATAAATACAGGGGCAGATCCAGTCATTTTTTAAAAGGGGGTTCCAGCCCAGGATAAAGGGTGGGTTCCAACTATATGTCCCCATTCAAAAAGCATTGTTCTAACCCCCCGGAACCCTTTAGATCCGCCAATAAAGTATTTGCCACTGAATGGCATTTAACTGGTACCAATCATTTTTTTAATCTGAAGGTTATTTCTCCACTCTGTTCCCTATAAAAGAGTCAAACAATAGGATTTTCGATAAAAATGTACCTGCTAGTTTATGGTTTTGTCTTTTGATATGAGTCGACTTCAATCCTTGTGTCCGTGTTAGGATAGTGGCACAATAAGACTGCTATAAAACCATCCGTTGAGAGTAAGCTCATTTCATTAAGGGATCCAGGGGCCTTACGGGGGTTGGGCACCACCCCACCTTTTTCCCTTTTTTTTTTCGATTTTTATTTTTTTTTTAATATTATTTATTTATTTTCTAATTTTGTTAACGTTATATGACGTAAAGGGGGTTCCAACCCCCTTTCAAAACGGCTGGATCCGCGCTTGCATTTGGTGCAACTGCAGAGGCTATTTGTTTCTGATGCTACCAAGTTCTTCAATGAAATATATATTTATGTCTTGCAACTATCAAAATTCATACGTCAACAAGTGTGTTTTATTCCACCGCTTTTTCTAATTTATTTTTTAGTTCACTTGATGTCATCATTATATGAGGCTCTGGAAAGGGTTCCTTCATTTTTTCTTTATCTTCCCCATTATATATTCTCCTTTCTTTTTCTTCAACACCCCATTATTCTCCTTTCTTTATAGTTCAACACCCCATAATTCTCTATTCTTTATTATTATTTATGACTCTTCTCTATTCTTTATAATTTATGCCCATTATTCTGCAAGTTTTGCTCATTATTCTCTATTCTGTATACCACATCAAGACCCTCCGATATAGTCTTTTTGTGCTGCTGAGGAGTGAAACAACAATCAACCAATCAATCGGTCTTTGACTGTCCTCCGTCTGTATATGCTTTCATTATTTTATTTTCTCAAAATCGATTATTCTAAATTCAATGTCCTCTTATATAGATTCAAAACAGGTTAAATACCAAAAGTAGTTTTATTACAAGTATCTAAATGTTTCCAAGTCTATAAATATTTTATGAAATTTTAATTGAATAGCGCTTATAATGTTTATTAAATGAATCAATCAATCGATTAATGGTCTGGTAAATTGAATGTCCATTAAGACGACCGTTTATTGACTCGAACATGCAAAGTGACCTCAGACCACGCAACGTTTTAACACATAAAAGGTCATTTTTCTCTATTCTTTATATTTTTTGCCCATTATCCTCTATATTCTTTATATTTTAGCACTCCATTATTTTCTTTTTTATTTTTGTCCATTTTTTTTGTCTTTTCTTTATATTTGTTGGCCTTTATTCTGCACTTTTTACTTATCATTCTCTATTCTGTAAACCCCACCCAGACCCTAATATAGTTCACTAATTTAACCCATACAAATTTCCATACCGGTATAGACAAGTCAAGAGATGTTTCATAAAACTGTAAATTATACCTTTTTGCACCTGTCCTTATCTCTCCTTCTATCAGCTAAACAGTTAAAATAAAATATAAAAAAAAACACATTTTAACTCTCTACTTTCATTTCCACCCATGAAAATAATGAAAAGGTACTTTACTATTATATAATGTACGGTATAGACTATACAACAACAATAGTAGTCGATCATTAATTGGGGTCGACATGAAACCATACTTTTCTATTCTGTTGCATTTGACGTACATGTGAGGAGGGAAACACGGGACATTTTATTATATTTGAGTCAATGTCTTTAAAACATATATTTGTGAAAAATCTGGGTTGCAAAGTTACCCAGATGAAAGGAGACAGAACTGAACAATAGACAGTTATTATTTTTTTAAACGTGGTTCGATTTTGTTCCTGGAATTGATAAACATTTCTTCTACTCACGACAGGTAGATTAGTTTACAATGATGCATTAATGCATAAAACTTTGGTCCGTTTTAGCTGACTTTGTATAACTGAGTACTAATCTCGAAATCATTTTGTCGTTTGTGTAGACATCGATCTCTTTCATTGTTTAAGTAATGTTACATGCACAGATTAATAATTTAACCTGTTTTCATCAAAATTAATGAAATATTGTATAGTAAAATTGTTATCCAAAAGGGTATAAAGCATTTTACCATGCAATGAAAATTATAATGAGATATTGAAAATAAATGCATGATTTAAAAGGAGTTAATTTATCCAGACTTAATAGTACATGAGGGTCTGGATGGGCGGTTCTGCATTTCTGTATTCTTTAATATTTTAGGCAATTTTTCTCTCTTCTTTATACGTTTTGCCTGTTATTCTCAATTCTTTATATTCAAGCACCCCTTTTTTCTCTATTCTTTATTTTTTTGGGCTATTTTGTCTATTCCTGTTTGCCCTTTATTCTACACATTTTGACCATTATACTATTTCCTATAAACCCCATCCACTACCTCGTACATTCATAGTGTGGAGTATTCTATATTGAATATTTCGATGTTTAATATAAGAGGGTCTGAATAGGGTATGCAGAATAGAGAATAATGGCAAAAAAAGTAATGAACAGAGAAAAACGAGCAAAAATATAACGAATAGAGAATAATGGGGTGCAAAAGTATAAATAATAACTGTGGGAAAAAATGTAAGTAATACAATACTGACTACATAAATGAACGATGTACAGAATTAAGAAATCATCTAAGGGAGCTGCCATTTGATTTTTATGTGTGTGTGTGGGGGGGGGGGGGGGGGGGGGGGGGGGGGGGCTAGGATGAAAAATTTTGTCCTGCATTTTTTTTTTAGTTGTAATCTCTGTCCTGCCTTTTTATTTTTCACTCTATTCGGTCCTGCCTTTTTTTTTTTAGTTTATCCTGACTTTTTTTACATAAAATGTCATCCTGCCTTTTTTTTTGCAAAGTGTCTCATCCTGCCTTTTTTTTTTACTCAAAACTCCTGTCCTGCCTATTTTTTTCAAATTTCATCCTAATATAAAATATATGGTTGCTTTGTCCATGTAGGTGACATGTCTTCCTATGTACTGTTACCATGGTTACCTTGTGAAGTATCATGTTTAAGATCCAAATCGTCATTTAGGTCGGATATACTTAGACAGGGTTCATATTTTCTTCACATTAACATGTTCTCTTTCTAATACGGATGTAATAATTGCCACTGGACGTTTAACATCGATTGATCTATAAAACATTGAGAACATATTCACCTATTATAAATACTAGACCATAACCGCGACATCGTGACTGAATTAAAGAATCTACGCCTTATTTTTAGCCTGGATTTTTAGAATTCGTATTGTCATTTGGTAAAGTCACGCTGATTATAAGGTGCACAGTTATTGCCTGTATAATGACGAAGTTCAGGTGTGATTATTACCCGTGTTTATAGCAAGTTCTGAATACACCGTTTGGTTGTGCGTCTGACAGAGACGGAACGTACAGATTAGGTAACAGGGATCAGGTAAATTTGTGACATATACTATTGGAATCGGTATCGGATTCGACCTGGAACTTGTTAATTATTGGTAATATTAATTATGTGGAAAGCAAAAGGGCCTGGAATGGTGTAATTTTTAATCTACACCATTGTCCTATATTATTAATATATAAAGTTAAATTCTGCGGGCAGTACGTCGACTGAGCATGCGCGAAATCGTATAAGACACGGATATTATAACGGTCTCCGAATTTGGATATTTTCTCAAAAATTGGCGTTTTCTGTAGAAAATAGATTGTTTCAAAGACAAATTTAGGAAGTACAAAACACTACATTTATACGTCATATCACAAATATTTCCGTCTTTGTATGGTTTCAGAGGAGTTGCGGCTCAATGAAATCTGTCTCTTCCTTTAGCATGTTTATAGTAGTATAGATGTGACTTTCCTAGATTAATTTTAGATTAAATTCCCCCAGTTGCAAGCAGTAAGTGTGATTAATGTATTCGTTTGCATCCCAATCAATGTCAATCCTGTTCTATTCTCTTTTGTCCATTTTCTCTATTCTCGATTTGTTTTACCCATTATTTTCTATTTGTGCCAACCCTTTTGTATTCTGTGAAACCCATCCCAACCTCATAAAAATTCCATGTATACTATTATGTTTTTGTTAACCCCAGATTTAATTTATTCAATTTTCTTATATCTTTTTCATTTATTATTTTCCTGTATTATATATGTTTCGTTTTGTTTTTCAATTTTGAATAATCAAGACAGCTTCTTCCTTCAAACAACCCATGTCGACAACAGGATGATTTGAAAAATTGCCGCATCAAACTATATTGTATTCCACTTTGATCATATGGCGTAAGTTTGTGAAATATTTAAAACCGGTTTCAATTTGTTCAAACCAATTAAACATATATATACATAAACTGAATAATTCATAGAACTTCAATTAAGAATCTATTTTAAAAATGTATATTTACAGGTTTGTCTGATCAGATCAATTTTTAGAACAATACCGTGAAATTAAATACAGTAGACAAACCTAATTCAATTGATGTTAACAATTGAAATTAACACATGTTATTGACAAGCTGTAATTATTTTCCAACGGTGGAAGACAGCTGTGTTGAATGAAGTTCCGGACCCTACCTTTACACGCCTCTATTGATATGTTTTTTTCTGTTTATTCACGATATTTTCCGAAATTGATAAAGATTTTAAGGATGTTTGCTACTATGTTTCAAAAATAACAAGCTTTTTAAAAGACTGTTATAAATTGATAGTATATAAAGTATGGAACTAAAAAAGCAGAAAAAATTGAAGGGTCCGTGACCTTAATTGTTTTCGAGATCTAAGCCATTGAAAAATTGGTGGGAAATGATTATCTCTAGATTTTTCTTACATTTAACATTGGCACTTTTTTTCTTTCAAAAACTACGAAAAATAACAAGGATTTTATAAGATTTTCAAATATGGCTTTTTAAACTATTTGTAATAAAATTACGAAAAGAAAACTACGGGTAGGCGGGCAAAATATTTATTAGCACTGAATGGATAAAACCAGAGGATTCCGAATAGTTGACAAAAAATCAAAATCAAAAGGAGCGAACATCCTTAATTTTTTCTAAAGTGGTTTATTTTTCTATAAGAAACACAACTTATGTTGTAAGTTCTAGTTTTAGCATCATTTGAATAACTTTGTATAGATCTCAGTGCAGTGGTTACAGTCAAAAAGAATACGGATTGAATTCTAATACATCGTGTTAGAATCAAATGCATTCTGGGTAATATTCAACAAAGCGTACACCAAAACATTCTAGTTGACATCAATGTAACCATGTCTAAAAACAAATGGTATCAAACCCATTTAGTTCTCTTTTGTGTACAACTAATGACCTTGACCATAATGCTTTAAATTCTAAACCGGGGAAATTCGAATCTTTTTTTTCGTCAGTGTGTGGGACACTACACGCAGACAACGTATCTTTAGAACCACCAAAATTCATAACTGACTACGAGGGTGTGAATGGGGTCCTTCGTTTCTGTATTCTTTAATTATTTAAGCCATTTTTCTCTATTTTTTATTTTTTTAGCCCTTTAATTCTGAACATTTTGCCCATTATTCTCTAGTCTGCATGTAAACCCCACCCAGACCTTTCGACAAGCCTGTACTAGCTCTGTTGATGGCCGGATGATTTGATGTTACATGTAAACGGGTACTGGCAGTCGTTCTTCTCTATAACTATAATTATAACTCTTGACAAAGCACTTCAAGAAATTGTGTAGCAGAAATTGCAACGTTAAATACGCTTGACCTGGCCTGAATATCTTTGACCTGGAATTAGCAACGACGTCATAATGGTTGACCCGGGCCGACGTTGATAAGTTTGACACGAAATTTTTAAGTACTTTTTCGGGTTGCTGTTTAGGTGTTAGACCACCAATTACTCCCTCAAATTTAGAACGTATGTAAAAGTAGCCCTACTCTGACACAAAATAGTGCTTTTGATGTCATTGTTTACTTAAACTAACCAACAAATTGGCAGAAATGAAACTTTTGGTGAAAGAAAAATATATTTAGACCATTTTGAGCCAAAATCCACTTGTCTATGAGATTGCATTAAAAATTCAGGATTAATGCGCTCCATAGAATACTAATTAAAGATTTCCAGAAAACCAGGGATTATTTTTGGAGTACCTCTATTCGAAGGTCAGTTTTTTTCTTAGAAGGCTTTAAAGGTATGTTGAAAAATAGCATGCAGAAAGCTGATACATGTACAATTCAGGATATACCTGGTTTCTATGAAGTTAAACTTAATGTAAAATATTTAGAAAGCTGTGAAAATTGCAAAATTTGGTTGAACAGATAGGGATTTTTAATTGGTGGTCTGACACCTGGTAAAATGAGTGTTTCTATCACGAAAAACACTCAAATACAATATGATAATGTGTATGAACATTACTTTGTACACGTCGACCGATTGTGAGAGTGTTCTGACATGTGACGTTTGTGGGGTTTTTATTTTGTTTTTGAGATGTGTGTTTTTTATGCAAGTTTTGAAGACACCAAACTGATATTCAAACTCATAAGTCTAAGACAAACTGAGAAAGCCATGGCGAAAACGAAAAGCACCCCCCCCCCTCCCCCCAAAAAAAAATCAACATTCTACAAAGCACACATAGAAAACTAAAAACTGAGCAAAAGTACCCATTTCTACTGATTATCAGAAATGCGCGTGTAATATAGAAATTATAGAAATGCACGTGACCTATGCAGTAATTAGAAATGTGCATTGAAAATATGATATTTATAAATGCACGTGGACTATGATACATTGATTATAATTGCGCATGGAACAAACAATTATCAGAAATACGCAAGGGCTATCCGATAATCAGTAGAAATGTACATTGAACAAACTACATTTTCCCCTCGGAAATTTACACTTTAAAATATCATCCTACTCCTGTCAGAAGTACCCGAGTGGATTTTGTTTAAATTTTCTATTTGCATATTGTTTGCATAATTTGTTTTTATGACACAAGAAGGACTTTATCTAATGCAGCGAAATGCATATTTTATTATATTTCATTTCATTAAATTATCTGATCATGGAATACTTTTTATACATTTTTACGTATTTAATTTTTCCATTAATGGAATTGAGACAATATGTGTTTGAGACTTTGCCTGAAAGGGGGATGGGTCGCGTATGTACCTTTTTTTTACTTTGGTACTTTGGTATAATTACGTACTAAAAGATAAACTATGTATCCTGATGTATATGTTATATGATGACGTTAGGAGTCTATAGTGATGTTTTAATTATGCATAAAAACCCAAGTAAGACTGGTCTTCGGTTCGTCCTATCCTTTTTATTGACCATAATGATGTTTTGTATGATCTGTCTATTGTTTAAGGCTTAGCTTTGACCTTTCGAGGTCTTTTCATTATAATTGTCGTTCGGTTACTTATTCATTTAGGTACATGTATGTCAAGCATCTTTTTGGTTCGTATACCTGCTCTGTTTAATGTATTTCAGAAATGTTAAAATTAATTGATGTTTGGTTTTTATCGCCACTTTCAGCATTATCAGCTATATATATAGTCAGTGGCGGCCAAGCTTGAATGGTCGAACAAGCCGGAGTGTACGGAGAGAGGCACCGACTTTCAGTAGAGAAACTGGCAATCCTGGTCACTAAGATAAGAGTCGAATGCACCTGCCATGTGCGGGGTTCGAACTCACAATCTCTTGACAGGGCAGTGATTACAGAAGAATAAACTTCTTTTATTTAATTCCTTAGACCACTGGAACAACGAGTTCGCAGGAAGACTTTTTGAAAAATGTATAAGAGTAAAATAAATTTAGAGAATTTGGTCCAATCCTTTTTGTTTTATGAGAAAATTCAATTGTTTTCGCATGTATCTGTTTCGAATAAGAAATGCTTATTGAACATACACATACAATTATCAGAAATTCGCCTGGAATAGAAAGTTATTATAAATGCGCGTGTCGTATGCAAAAATTGGAATTGCATAAGGAAAATATGATAAGAAATGCGCGTGAACTAAACATTAGTTATGAATGCGCATGGAACATAATCCGAAATGCACGATAACTCTCTGATAATCACAAGGAATGCGCATGGAACAAACTGACCTATAGTTGTTAATTTCTGTGTCATTTGGTCTCTTGTGGAGAGTTGTCTCATTGGCAATCAAACCATATCTTCTTTTTTATAATTAATGTTCTCTTCGGGAAATATACGTTAAAACATCTCGTCATACTGCTTCCAGAAGTACTTGAGTGAATTTATCTAAATTATCATTTTCATGTAGTTTCTGTATAATTTGTTTTTATGATACCAGTAGGACTTTATGAAATGCAGCGAAATGCATATTTTATTTCATTTCATTAATTTATCTACATTTCAAGCAAGTGGTTGGAATCCTTTGATCAAATCGATCATATTAATGGAAATACTCATTTTATACTTTTACATATTTATTTTTCCATTAACGGAATTGAGACAATATATGTTGGAGACTGCCTGAAAGGGGGATGGGTTTCGTTTGATCCTTTTTGTTTTACTTTGGTATAATTACTTATCAAAAGATAGAATATTTCTCCTAATGTAATCAGATGACATTAGGATTCTATAGTGATTTTATAATCATGCATAATTACCCAAGTAAGACTTTAGTCTAGTCATCGGTGCGTCCTATCCTTTTTATTGACCATAATGATGTTTTGTATGATCTGTCTATTGTTTAAGGCTTAGCTTTGACCTTTCGAGGACTTTTCGCTATAAGTGTCGTTCGGTTACTTATTCATTTAGGTACATGTATGTCGAACATCTTTTTTATTCGTATACCTGCTCTGTTTATTGTATTTTAGAAATGGTAAAATTAATTGATATTTGGTTTTTATCGCCACTTTCAGCACTAACAGTTATATAGTCAGTGACGGCCAAGTTTGATTGGTGGACCAAGCCGGAGTGTATGGGGAGAACCATCTATTTTCGGTAGAAAAAAACTGGCATTCCTAGTCCCTAAGATAAGAGTCGAATGCACCTGCCATGTACGGGGTTCGAACCCACAACCTCAGTGTTGACATGCTAGTGATTACAGTAGAATAAACTACTTTTTTTTAATTAATTCCTTAGACCACTGAGAAAACGGAGTCTCATTAAGACTTTTTTGAAAATTGTATAAGAGTAAAATAAATTCAGAGAATTTGGTCCAATCCTTATTATTTTATGAGAAAATTCAACTGTGTTCTGTAGGTATTTGTTTACAATATCACCGGAAATTGATGAATTATAAAATTTGTTATTCATGTTTTAATTACGCTTTGTTGACATATTCTATTTTATGGTGAATCGGCTAGTTTATTTTGCTCCTACCACAAAGCTTTGATTTGCTGTACAAAGATATTAAAGTATCGAATTATTTAGAAATTTATGTAATAATCAATTGTTCTATTGTTACAGTGACTAGTTTAAACATGGAAAACAAATTTTATAAATTGTCCGACAATTACAAATTTCGTACTATCTCAAATGATCTGCATATTATCGGTAATTGTCTACCTCTACAACACTTGGTTCAAATGGTATTTCAAGGTTAAAACGCGAAAAGATCGAAGCATCATTAATACCAGGACAATAACCATCAAAGAACATTCGATATAGGGGATTATCTATACGAAGGCCACTTTTATTCTAGATAAACAGGATAAAACCGATGAATCATGCTTTGAACTAGACCAACAATGAAAGGTTCCACCTTTTGAAGAGTAGAATATGTCATGGACTTCTGAAAATTTATATGGGATAGGAGAGGGTATTTTGAATATTTATGCATTTACATTTTCATGTGTACATAAATTTGAAAGACAGGCATATTCATTTATATAATAATTTCTATTTTCATATACGATTATATCTTTAACTTAACGTATAATTCATACATCAGTTCAAACAAAACAATAATAAGAATAATATATCGTATGGATTATTCGCTGTTACTTAAGGCACGCTCAGAGTACATTTCTTCACCTGCATGGGAACCAACTGTGATTGTCTTCGTGACGACTTCAAACAGAAGGTTCTTAGGAAGAATGAAAAGAAACTAGCATTATACTTTAACTTCACGTTCCGCTATAAAGCTGATGTCCTCTCACTGAATAATTCAAAGTTTGGTGACAGTGTTGAACGCATTTATCCATTAAAATAACTTTCTCATATCTTAACTTACATGTACATCTAGAAATTGACAATGATGATCGGCTGAGAACACGCTTTACAACAAAAGAGTTGATTTCAGCTTCCAAATTGCGAACTTTCCATTTCTATGTAGCAACATTCCAGCAGCACCTACATATGGATGATTTTCTTGATAGATGATTACTGCTTTCAAGATACCTATTAAACCAAGAGTCCCAAGTAGTAAAGTTGAAGTCATTCTTCGTAAATATCACGAGTTGGTTAACCGTTATGGAATATCTGTTTCACAGATGACGACGGATATGTTCGAACTTTCAAACCACAATTAAACCGAATTAAACTTTATCACCGGGTTTGTACTTACAGGAGCAACCCGACGGGTTCCACAATGGTGCAGGATCTCCTCATCCTTCGGAGGTACCTGAGATAACCTCCAGTTTTGGTAGGGTTTGGGTTGCTCAGCCTTTCAGTTTTTAATGTGTTTTGTAGACTGTTGTTTGTCTTCTGGTCGTTTTTTTTTTGCCACGACATTGTCAGTTCGTTTTCGATTTATGGGTTTGAATATCCCTTTGGTATCTTCTGCCTCAATATGAGATTGTGACGTCATTCGCGCTGATATCGGTGACTGTACTTCATGAAATATTTCAGTTTAAATCATTATAAACACGGTCATGTGAAATCCGCAGACAACAAACTTGACAGAATTTAAAGGGCGAACAGAAGAAACAATTTAGTTTTGCTTCAAATTACAATTTATATGTCAACGAATTGATGTTTGATGAAAAGGGTAGACAAGAAAATATACCGAATGCAATCTTTTAATCACAAAAAAGGAGATCTGAAAGACATATTTTTAGCTTCCAGTGTGAAATGTCACTTCTATAGAATTTACGCAGGTGAAATCAAATTTCCACAACAAATCTCTTTATTTAATTTATTAAATTTAGTAAATTAAGTGTTAACGAATTTATCAAAATTAATAATTATTACTATAAAGTTGATATTTTGAAGCTTGGACAAACGCAACATTAGCTTCCGACCGGGCAACAGTTTATTTTTATAGGACTATTATAGAAGTTGAGTTTAAACAGAATTATTCTATTGTCTAAATAAACAATATAATAGGATTGGATACAAGTTGTAATAACTTAACATAATTCTGTCCAAATAATCAAAGAAGTTTAAACCAGACCATACATCCCAAATAATTTTCATTAACCTTTTTAATGTACACAGCAACAAATATTTAAAAATTTCTAAAAAGAAATAAGAAGTCTGTAGAACATTTCCGTTTTAGTCGAAAGTTATCAGTACTGCAGAATACCTGTATCGTTTTAATGGCCAGCTGCCACTCTTCACCTTTTGTAAAACCTGGCCGTGATGATCTGTTACTGATTGTACATGCAATATGCTTTGACAATAGAAGTCAAATTACTTGTGCGTCATATTTTTATACATTCAGTTTTCAAAAAACTTTTTTTTTCATATTTGAAACGTGCATTAAAAGAAATTAATTTCCGGCCTGTCCTGATAAAGTTTGTAAATTAAGTAGACAAAGAAAACAGTCATGAACTACCGTTAAAGAAAAAATACATTGTGTAACCGATTTCCAAGATTTTGCATTTAAACTTAATATACTGCAATTGATATTTTAATGCAAGTAAAATAACATCAGTTCAAATAGGTACAATGTACTTAGGATTAACTAAGTGCTGACATTTTCAATATTTTACTTCTTAACTCTTATTGCTTGAACGAAACTCAATCGATCGATTCAAAAAAAATTCAAACCGATTTATATTTAAAAAAGGGGAAAATTATGAGATCTCAATAGACTTGTTTAAATCCAACACATGTGTATTTGTCTGTCTGAAATCAGGATCCTGGTCATTGGTTTTATTTACAGGGGCGGATCCAGCCATATTTTAAAGGGGGGTTCCAACCCAGGTTAAAAGGGGGGGGGGGTGTTCCAACCATATGTCCGATTCAAAAGCATTGATCGTCAAAAAATGGGGGTTCCAACTCCCGGACACCCCCCTTTTTCCTCTGGATCCGCCACTGGTTTATCATATCTTAATGCTCCCGTGAGGGATTAGGTGTTAGCAGTTAATGCCTAATCTTTATTGACTGATTGATGTTAAGTGTTTGACGCCATTTTCAACACTCTTTGTACCAGCTAGTTTTTATTGGTGGAAGTTGTAGTATTTGCTTGGTTCGGCAGGAAACCTTACAATCCTAATTTATTAAGATCGGAGTCGAACGCACCTTGCCACAATCAGGGTACGAACTCACAACCTCAGTGTTGATAGGCTAGTGCTCACTGTAGATGAACCGGACTGTTTTGGTAGTCTCTGTTTAGTAAATTCACAACTATTCCAGAGTCTGGTCAATTAAGTATGACTTCTTATATATTACATGTAGGGAAGAACACATGTCTATTGTTTAGGACCGTGTGCATCCATTGTGTAGTTTGGTTGCTGTCGCATAGACGTATACCTCACATGTCCTTTTATTCGTTTGCCCAACATCTCATTTAATTCACTTACTAGACATTTAAACTTAAAGCGATAAAAAATTTATAAACGCAGTACTGCAATATAATGCACGAATCGTATAAGGCAAAAGGTTATCTCATTGGCAATCATACCACATCTACTTATTTTAAAACATATGCTAATCGCACAAAAGATAGTGAATTGTCAATAAATGCACTTGAAAGAACTCGTACAGAAATAACTACCAATTTTATCTTTTATAACATCTCAATTGGTTTTTTTCAACCTAATTGAGATGTTATGTATTTTAAGTTGGTTTTTCATTGACAATATAAGGACGCACAGGTGTGATCAGATAAAAAAAATATGAATCCATATTAATTGATATATTTTTTTATAAGATAAACACCATTTTATGATATTTCTTCTTACAAGGAATTAAGTAGGATTGATTATATCTGCCTTGAAGAAAATTAATTATCCTCTTTAATTTTTTTTTTACAATGGGGTTATTGCAAAAGTGGGTTTTTTTACAATATTTTTTTCCCTGCAGATTATTTTATCTCCAATTACTTACACACTGTTCACATATTTAATCTCATATATATAATGGGACATCAGTGCCGAGTGGGTAAGTATAGGTTCAAACCCCGCACGTTGCAGGTGAGTTCGACTACTAACTCAATTTACTAGGATTGTCAGTTTTCCTGTTGAAGGTCGGTGGTTCTCTCCTGGCACTCCGGATTCTTCCGCCAAAAAAATAAATGACCGCCAATAGTGCTGAAAGTGGCGTTAAACACAAACAATTAATCAATCAATTTTATGTATTAATCATTGACACACTGTTCCCATGATCTGATAAATTGGGAAAGATTTGCCTTTTTTGAAATCCTCCTGTTGAGGGAATAAGAATAGACACACACGAAGGGAGTTCAAAAGGAAGTTTTGCCTTACAGAAATTGTATTGTTTCTTAAAAAGTGTCTCGACCTAATCCCTTCTGAGTTCGGTTTCCATCTTTTGAGGATTTTGGGATTGTTTTGCATGATTTTCCGTGATTGACAGACAACTTTTAGCCAACTATCGCGTCTGGGCATGAAAAAAAATGGATGTCTATCCTGAAGGTGCAATTAAGACAATATTTATACTTCTATATTTGAAAAATAAAAACAAAAAAATTAATCTGAATTTGAATTCTTGAAAAAATAAATATAACACTTGCAAAAAATATGTTTTCGGTTGAAGAGACGTACGCCTTCTATGCCATTACACCTGAATTAACGACTGTAATTAAGCCTGATTAGATAAACATACTTTTCAACAAATAAAAAAAGAAATATTAACATTTCACAATTTTCCAATGCTATCAAATGACAGAATATTTCAACTATTAGAAATACAATAAAAAAGGCACATAATTAAAAGTAAAAAAATGTATTTGTTATAAAGCCTTGATAAAAAATTTTAAACTGTACATTACTATCTATTTATTCTAATTTTATTCATTTTTGTCAATAACGCAAGAGGTCGTTTTCAGACTGTAATCGGATATGTCATGTTTTTTTTTCTTTTTAAGTCATTTACCTAGCTTGATGTCGTTTTAAACATTCAAAAACACTTCTGTGCATAATATTTTCAATGCATATATATATTGACGATAAAATAATTTCCTACATTCCCTATCCCGTAAAAATTAGTTGACGTCGGAGAATCAATATCATACATAAAATGCACATTATGAATAATTTAACTTCCATTTCATGTAAAATAATGAGAATTTTAAAAGAATTTAAATCATATATTAAAGCATGCAGATCTATAAAAGATCATAAAATAGACAAGACGTGAGTATATAACAAATATATACAAATAGACATGAAAGACATGAAAGACGATTTTTTAAGACATCCAATTAAATGTATAATATATATAAAAGATAGATAGATAGATTCTACCATTGCATCGAGTGTGATACGATATTTATCCCCTCGAGACAATAAATTTTCAAATGTCGAGAACGGAGAAATATCGTATTGCACGAGATTTAGTGGTAGAATCAGTTTCTCTAATGTTATATAGACGACATGCAAACAAACTTAATCCTTCTTTTCCAATGATCTGCAAAAAGAAGTCACGTTTCTTTCTATGTAACGTCATCCTCAGGCATGGTTGCCTTTTTCCGTGACTCCACAATAGGAAATTCAGAGGAAAGCAAGACATTTAATGTCATAATTGAATTTTGACCAATGAAAAACTGAGATCAAACGAACCACACGTTGATAAAAAAAAATCAACAAGTCAGAAAAAGGATAAATAGGCTAAGAATTACAGAAATAACACATATTTTATTTGAATATAAATTGCATGATCTATGGCGTTTTTATGTACATTCACAGACTCGGGTAATTATACCTTTTAGCAGATATCATACAATATTTACAAATAAGTCCACGGAAGATTGATTGATTGATGTTGCTGTTTAACGCCACTTTCTGGCTATATCATGGCGGTCAGTTATTTCATTAAATTCAGGTCTACCACATTAATGTCATCGGTGGTCAGTTCCATAATTGTCAACTCTACGCATGTATTATACATAATGTATTTTTTGTTTTGTTGAAAAGAAAATAAGAACGCATTTTTTAGTAAAGCAAAATATCTTTATTTCAAAAGTTACAATATATTAAAAAATGATACGTTTATACTCAATAACAATTATTCAGAAGAATAAACATTTGAAAACACATTACATAATATTTTTTTTAAAATATAAAATAAATACAAATAACATGCAGACATACAATTGCTTTGTTAATCAATATGTATTGTATATCAATTACTTTCTTTAGAACATTGTATTACATACAATTCAAACCGTAGTAAAGTTTAAATGACTGCTTCAAAATCCACTTATTTTGCAACATATATAGTTTATCCCAAGTAATAAAGCTCGCATATTTGGTCTTTTAGAACAATGAAAAGGGAAAAAAAATTTTGGATGTATTCCATGTCTATAATCACGGTCTCCCTCATGCAAAGCTCGGATTCCTTGCACGACTTTGGCTGTACTTTTTGTCCGTTTTGGTTGATAAGCTCTTTCATTCTTTTAATATTAAGATTTGCCAGGATTATCAAATCTTATTTTCAAATATTTTGGATTCGATCATCCCTGAAGAGACCGACATTTGTTGTCAAAATACGCATCTAGTGCAGACAAATTGGTACCGTTAATGTTATTAATAGGACGATTTTCATTTTGATAAGGATTTGTTTTCTTTTTTCGGCTAAATAAACTATTAACAAAAACTACATTAGTACCAGTAAAACTGTTTTATTATTTTAGTTTCTTGTCTACATTCTAAATTGAGCATTGCACAAGACTGCGTATTTATACTGTTTAGGACATTGCTGTATGAAATCTTAGAGGTGGGGCAATTGATAATATCACAGCATTCTTGATTACGATATTATCTAAAAATAATAACTTACTGTCTACATTGATTAGTTGTATCCGGGGAGGATTGGTTATTGATAATGTTTGAATTTGAGTCCTAACCTGGTTAGGAATCTTGTTAGTCGTTGTTGCTTTAGTCCACTTAGATATCTTATTTTCCCTCATTCGTCTTTCACAATTTGTATTAACCTGGGGATTTACTTGTCAAACGGTCCAGATGTTAAAATTTATCCATCTCCAAATTCTAAGTCGTGAATTTGAGATCATGTCTGTTTTTATTGTAAGTATAGAGTATTGAAGATGTGTCCACGATTTTCCCTCCATTCTTCTTTTATTCATATTTTATATATGACGACTACTTATGAAGTACCTTTTTCAAACTTTTGTGCTGTAATTATGACGTTCAGTATACTAGTACATTGTAATGATGGATCTTCTTGTTGTAGTTGTATCTTTCGCCCAATGAAATGGGATGTTACAACTTGTTTGTTTGTGATACGCCAGAATGTTATCAACAAATTAGCAAAATGATAAACTTGACTGCAGTTCAGTGTACATTGCTATTAAAATGAACAAAAGTTCTGCCTGGATTTCTTAAGAATTTGTAGCGATTTGCAAGTTATTAAGGCATACTCAGTATTATATTAACGTATATGTACGTTTGAACAAATGAGGCGTTGTGGTATAAAACCATTTCGACAGCAAAGTATCGATTCTTTTTTTTTTAAATCCAAGAACCCAAAATTAAAACCTTGTACATGTATTAAAACATGTAGTTAACATGTTTTTAACTTAGTAATTCATTGATGTAAGTCATTGTACAAGTTGCGTGTACAGTGAAATGGGTTGACAACAATACACAGTGAAATATGAAGAAAATAATGATCACATAAAAGGAGTTATGAAGGATATTTCATTGAGAAAACAGCACAACGTCATTAAATGATTGATTGATTGATTGGTGTTTAACGCCACCTTCAGCAATATTGTGCTATTTCGTGTCAGTCAGTTTTTATTGGTGGAGGGAGCCGGAGTACCCAGAGAGAATCACCGACCTTCGGTAGGAAAACTGACGATCCTAGTCTATTAAGGTTGAAGTCGAGCGCACCTGCCACGTGCGGGATTCGAACTCACTATCTCAGTGTTGACGACTAGTCATACAGTAGTTCGACTACTTAAGACCACTCGGCCACCAAAGCCCCCAACGTTACAAAACCCATAACCCGAATAAGTCAGTATTTATATTCCGCTGCTTTACGATCATGGCTACCTCGCGTGGGAGAAAGTCGGACTCGGAGAGGGATTGAAATAGTCGAGTTACAAAAACCACTGAAGATATCTGGGGGTTATAAAAGAGAGGTATTTATACATAATGCAAGCACTTGTTCAATCTCATTTAGATGATGAGGAGCAACAACCCACAATAGAAATGTAGATGTTTAATCAGAATATAAGCTTTCAATGGTATTTCTGGTTGCGGTGTATTACTTGGAAAAGAACATAACAAATAGAAATGAACCCGAACGCTACATGTAAACATGTTTTTATAATCGATTTGATCAAAATGTTTAAAATTCATATTACAATGTCTGTGTACTTCATTTTTAACAATACATATGTGTAAAGTATTAAAAGCTTACAAAAATATTTATGTAATCTATAATGGTTATTGGCTTAAGGAAATAAAAATTCGTTAAGATTCTTGGGGATTTAAAAGAATTCTGGACAGAAGTAAAGGTTAAAACTGTAATTTATTGCATGGAAATGTTTGAAATAAAATTAAAAAAAAAAACAATTATCGCTTTCTACAACACGTTTAAAACTAACAGCAAATGGTCATTGTTAGTTTAGAAACCAGCACATGAAAGAGACTGAATTCTTCTTTGTGACTTATGATATATTGTTTGAGGAGACGTAAAAGCGTGAGATCATCGTAACTATTTTAAAAACAATTTAACAATTAAAGTAGAAACGAAACCTTATCAGCAGATGATTGAAATACAAAACTAGTTTGTATCGTCAACTATTGTTGTTATAAGATTGTTAGAAACACATAAGATCGGCTAACTTCGGGTGACTCCGCTTCTCTCAATCTACAGGTACGGAATCGGCCGAGTAGTGACGAATGATAAGACTGTTAATACACATCAATAGAGAAATAAAATAATGAGCAAATCATGTATGGCACACACTGTTCAAATCCTTCGTTCAAGCCTTTGAAGAACTTTAGCCATAATGCACATAACACATAGGAACCAGCATATCCATGAAATGACATTCCTACAGGAAAGATTCAGTTTTTCATTCGTATGAATTTGAGCTTAATTACTATGCAAAGTTTACTTTTAATGCTCTCTTAACATGCCTCTTAATTCATGTATTTTTCCGTCCTCGTCCTCTAAAATTAAACGTAATACTCTTCCTCTTGAAAATGGAAAATCGTTCATTTCCTTTTCTGCGTTCCGATCCGCGTCCTTCTTTGCTTCTTCCTTTGAATTGAACCACTCACTTGTAATTTCTTCTTTACATATACATCCCCCTGTACCTGCGAGGAACTCTACAGACCACCTGCACTTTGGCATTTTACTTTCAATTTTTATTCTACAAAAAAAAAAAAAAAAACCCATTAAATTCAACTTTTTTTTCAAACATTTAAATTGGAGACAATTCAATTCGCCACTCATACACTAAAGAATTGTGTGAGTAATTTCATTACTCGAACCTCAAAATGAAATAAAGTCACGTCATTGGTTGAGTTTTGAGTGTATATGACGTTTTAACCCAATCATAAGGTTTTGAAGTGTACTTTCAAAAATATTACCCAGAATTTATTAAATTCTGAAATGGCGAATTATCGTATATATCGATAAACGAGTAAACACTTAGTCCAAGTTAAATTGAATAAGATAAAAAAGTTTGCTTTGCAACAGGCCACCCTGTGCTCCCATCAAAGAGATGTTGATGTTGAAAGGTCTTTAACAGGATTAACCAAAACATTGAAGCTAAACAGGTTACACCAATTTTCAGGCAACGTGTCGTCGCATTTAACGTCCCCATTCCAACAAGACGTGGCTGCGTATTTATACATCCAGCTAGGCCAAACAGACGCTCGTTTTCTCAGCATGGCTTTAATATCTGACGGGATAAGTCAGCTCGGGCAAGCTATCAAATTGTTGTTGAAATATTTACGGAATGACTGTAACATTTTTTCTGTCTATGAAGAAATAACATAAAAAATGTGGTGCACACTGAATAACCCGCTTAGCGTGTTATTTAAAAGTGTGTACCACATTGTTTAGGTTATTTCGAATAGACAAACAAAAATATTACAGTCCTTTCTTATGATTTAATTCTAAATTCCATTTTTAAGGAGTAAATCATGAAAAAAACGTCGATGACAAAAATATGTCTATGAGCTGATAGACAAAAAAACTTTCAGCCCACCAGAAGACGTGTTACATCCTAGATTAAATTATTTAACATTGTATGTTAAGCAAAGAGCAAACAAATGGTAAATTCGATGTGGATCATATTGATCTTTTCCATATTGTTTAATTTAATTTGCATTTGTCCTGATAAGAAGACACGATATTTGTCGTGACTGAAAGCGTTTCCACCTTGCTGTTATCTTTGTATTACATAAATCTCCTCCATGTTTATAAAGTCGGCGAACATATATATTGTTTGAATAAATATCAGATAAAGACAGTACAGAAAAAATGACATAGAAATGCAATATTAGGTCAATGTCAAATATCAATTTGTGTAATAGTGCCTAAAAACTGGAGAAGGGCGAGGTTTAACTACAAAAAGGTTAATATTTTTTCTGACATGAACCTAATGTTGTTTTTAAACTGCAGCTTAAAATGGCTTCAATTATAGTTACTTAAACGTTGAAACAGAAATCAAGCTAATTTTTCATCCCAAAATGAGCCCCAGATTGTGAAATATAGTGACATGACATGAAATCGATATTGTTCGAAATATCACTTTATTGTACGGAAGCCGATAAGGGTCATTAAAAAAAAAAAATTATGTCGTAATTTCGACATAGTATGTCGTAATAACGACATCGCTATGTCGTAATAACGACATATTATGTGGAAATAACGACATCGCTATGTCGTAATAACGACATATTATGTGGAAATAACGACATCGCTATATCGTAATTACGACATATCATCTATATCATCTATATCATCTATAACAACAACCTTAACAATGCTACTTTGTCAGCATCGAAACACTATGGGAAACAACATTTTCATCTTTATTTTAAGAAATACTTATCAGAATTGAATCAAACTTGATATACGTGTGCACTATAAGGTCCTATTCAAGTGTTATTACTTAGTTACACATTTGGTTAAAACACATGACCGCCAAGGGACTTTGAAAAAATCAATGTTCAAGATCTGCTTCTCAAGATCGCTGAAATGACTGAGCTTAAACTTAGTATAGATATACAATGTGTAAATAGTATCCAGGTCCTTAAAAAGAGTTTTTACGTTTTGAGCTGATCCGAAGTTAAAAATGGCCGCCAGTGAGGGCAAAGTTTGTATCAAAACCCTATCGTAAACATATTCATTTTTGAGAATGATAAACACTGAATTTAATCAAGCTTAATTAATATTAAAGTTAGTTACGCTATATGTCTGCACATAATAGAACTTAATTTCATAATCAAGTCTAATGGGACCCATTGAAATGGTGAATGATTCAGGCTTGTTGGAGCCTCTATATTTATATTTGTCATTTATGTAGATCACACCAAGAAGATGTGTTAAGTACCAGAAGGATTATTTGTGCTATTGCAATCGCTTGTCGTCCGTCGTCGTCTGTATTTACTGTTAAAGTTTTATTAAAGATTACAAAAATCACAAAATGTTGATAAAAGTTTAGCCGCCGTCGCCGCAAAATCAATTCCTAAAGTTTCGCTATTTATGACGTTCGTCGCAGGCAAGGTAAAAATCTGCTATTCCGCTATGTGGTCTTTTTGTATAGTATTGTGGAAATAATTGCATACAGTTCGAGATTGCATGTGAGTTACGTAAGCGCTTAACTGTTTTTTATATCCTGTGGTGTTTGTCGTTGATGAAATATGTTCGCTGTTGTTCTGCAGTTTACATGTTTTGCGACTATTACTACACTGTAGTATATTATATGCTTGTGCGTTTCTCTGTGATATATGGTCTTGCGTGTGTTTGATCTGTATTTCTGTCACGTAGTGTTATCATTTCAGCGCCATTTTTAACATTGTCATAAAGCGGGAAGTCTGGCTAGCCATTAAACCAAGTTCAACCCACCATTTGTTCTTAAAATGGCCTGTACCAATTCAGGAATATGACAGTTGTTATCAAATAGTTCTTTCTATGTATGTTAAGGGTTTATTATTGTTCACTTTAGTGTTCCTGTTGTTCGTTTATTTCCCTCTTACAGTTGATATGTTTCCCTCGGTTTTAGTTTGTAACCCGGATTTGTTTTCTCTCAATCGATTTATGACCTTTGAACACCGGTATATTACTGTTGCCTTTATTTAGTAACAGTGTCCATGCTGTTGGTTGCCGGTCAAAATCGACGGACTTAAAGTGATGACAATACATGTAGCTATCCCCAAAAAAATGTTTTAGAGGACACAACTTAGATATGGGTCAAACTGATCTTTCTGAAATTTTCGGCATAGGTCCATTTTGTCATGATGAACCCTCAACAGATTTGAGATAAATGTAACGATATTCGAGACATTATCAAAAAACTAATGTGTGACCATTATGTCCTATATTTTCAAGTTAATAACAGCGGCTGTGTTTTTAAGGAGTCAAAAATCAAAGCACGCCTTTTGTGAAGGAAACATTTAACAAGGAAATATCAAACTAACTTTTAAAGAATTTTGTACAGTAGTTTCAAAGGAGATTTTTAAAACACGCTTTCGGCAGACGACGACGGACAACAAACGAAGCAATCGCTCGCATACCACTTCGAGTACGAGACACAAGTTCCTTAGGTGATAGGTGAAGATCAGGGGACCCATTAGGCTCGATTATTAGGGGTCTAAAGTTTAACATAGGCTCCAATGGAAAAAGCTTTGAAAATCTTCTCATTAAGAACTACAGGCCATATTGGATCAATCTTAGAGAATGGATGATCCTTATATGATGAGGATTAAATATAAAAAAAGAAGATGTGGTATAATTGCCACAAGAAACCAAATGCCACAGAAATTAACAACTATATGTCACCGTACAGCCTTCAACAATGAACAAAGCCCATGCCACATAGTCAGCTATAAAAGGCTCCGAAATAAGAAATGTAAAACAGTTCAAACGAGAAAACTAACGGCCTAATTTATGTACAAAAAATAAACGAAAAACAAATATGTAACACATCAACAAGCAACAACTACTGAATTACAGGCTCCTGACTTGGGACAGGCACATACATACAGAATGTGGCGGGGTTAAACATGTTAGCGGGAACCTAACCCTCCCCTAAGTTTGTAGGAATAGTTGTCCTGGGGAACATTGGTTTAAAGAACTTGGGGTCCAACGTTTAATACAGGCCTCAATGGGGAGGACGCTGTAAGAATCTCATAAAGAACCAACAGTAGCAATGCAGTTATAATTTGCATCAAGCATCAGTAGGCCATTGTGTACAAATGAAGGTACAGAGGTCCATGGGTCTGAGGACTAGGAGTCCAAAGTTTAACAGTTTTTATTTGGAAAAGCTTAAAATTCATCTTCTTCAGAATCTGCAATGGAAATGCAGTCATATTTTACACGAATCTGTACATGCCAAACATAACTAGATGCTCCAAGAAGCCCGAATCGCTCCCCTGTACAACTGGGTCTCATTTGACTTGATTATAAAATGAAGTTCTAGTGTGTGCAAGTAAATAACTTTAATTAAGCTTGATTGCATTTAGTGTTCATTATTCTCCAAAAAAGATGAATATGTTTACGTTTCAAACTTTGCCCTCAATGACGACCATTTTGAATTTTCTATCGCCTCAAAAAGTGACAACGCTAAGGTTGTCGTAATTATGACATAGCGATCAGGAGCCTGTAATTCAGTGGTTGTCGTTTGTTGCTGTGTAACATTTTTTTTTTTCATTTTTTGTACATTAATAAAGCCGTTAGTTTTCTCGTTTGAATTAAATTGTTTAACATTTGTCATTTCGGGGCCTTTTATAGCTGACTATGTGGGGGCTTTTCTCATTTTTGAAGGCATTATGATTACCTATAGTTGTTAATTTCTGTGTCATATAGTCTCTTGGCAATTATAATCATACTATTTTATATTTATATACTAGTATAGCGATGTCGTTATAACGACATAAGTAAGCCGATAAGGGCCATTAAAAAAAAAAAATTTTATGTCGTAATTACGACATAACATGTCGTAATAACGACATCGCTATGTCGTAATTTCGACATAACAAGTCGTAATTACGACAACACTATGTCGTAATTACGACATAGCTATGTCGTAATAACGACATCGATATATATATAAAAGAATATGTATTATGATTGCCAAGAGACTAGATGACACAGAAATTAACAACTATAGGTCATCATAATGCCTTCAATAATGAGAAA